CATCATCATCAGCAGCTTCGCCATCGTCATGGGCATCGTCACCATGACCACCACCACAATCACCATCAACAGCACAATCAACATCACCATCACCATCATCGTCAATTCAATTGTTATTGCCATCGTCATCGTCACCATCACCATCACCATCACCATCACCATCACCATCATCATCATCATCACCATCCTCATCATCATCATCATCATCATCATCATCATCATCATCATCATCATCATCATCATCATCCTCGTCATCATCAGCAGCAGCATCATCACCATCCCCCTCTTCATCACCCGATCCTCGTCGCTCTCTGCCCATGATGTCGCCCCCTCCCCCTCCTCCCCCTGTCTCCTGCTGCCCCCCTCTTCCTGCCACATCCTCCTGGATCCTCCTCCCGTCTCCTCCTTCCCTCCTCCTCCACGCCCCATCCTCCTCCCCCCCTTCGCGCCTCTCCCTCCTGCCCCTCCCAGTGAGCCGCGAAGTGTCGCCTGCTTACCGCCTCCGATGTACCTCCCAGGAGCCCACGAGAGTGGTGACGGCTGCTCAGCTGGCAGCCTCCCAGGGAAGCTCCGAGGTCTGGCATGCCAACCGCATCCGCTGCACCTCCCAAGACCCCACGAGAGTGGCCACAAGGGAGCCGCGAGGGAGCCTGCCGCCTCCGGGCAACAAGGGAGCCGCAAGGCAACAAGGGCCGTCGGCAGCCCCCCAAGGAGCCGCGAGGGCTCGCCTGCCTGCCGCCTCCGCTGAACCCCCCCGGAGCCCACGAGTGGCGACGGCTGCGCAGTTCGCGGCCCCCGAGCAGGAAAGGTGCGAGGACGGGAGGCAATGAGGCCAGAGGCAGGCGGGGGGAGGGGAGGAGGGGGGGGAGGGGAGGATGGAGACCACAGTGCCCAATTCAAAACGAGAACCTAATAAACACACACACACATAAACAAACAAACAAAAAAACACCTCTATGACGACGAAGACGACGAGGAGTGGGAGAGAGGACTCGGAAGGAGGAGGCGAGGCGAAATAATAGGCGAACCCTGCACATGATCATTGCCGATACGTATGCCCCCACACCTCTGGCCTTGTACATGTTGCACCGCCCCTCGACATGATGATGTCAGCCCCCTGTCGGCCGAAAGAGGCGTCTGCAGTCATTGTCGTCCGACCGTCCTCACCCCCTTACCCCTCTCCTCGTCCCCCTCGTCCTCCATGGCGCGCGGAGCGCGCCAGGGGCGGCGCCGGAGGCGCCGCCAGGGGGTCCCAGCGCCGATCCGAGGAATCCGCACGGACCTCCGAGTTTCTACGTTTACGTCATAGACTGCTCCCCCATCCTCCCCCTCATCCTCATGCGCGCCTGGAACTCCAAGCAGAGGTTGACGCCCGCGCTCACCGAGAGCTGCGCCGGAACGCCCCTGGCGGTCTGGAGGCGGGCGCGCCGCGCTCAGGAGGCCCGGGACCCTCCCCGTGCCGCTGTCTGCCTCCGAGCCTCTCGGTCCGCTGTATACTTCGAAGCTTTCGGCGGCAACTCATGGGAGCCTCCCATACCCTCTTGTTGGCTTGGCTCTTGCCAATCGACGCTAACTGGACGCTGGTCGACGCTAAATCAACGCCAAATCGACGCGAATCGAAGCTCACCGACGCCAAATCGGCACAGCTCATCGACGCCCAGACGCCAATCGACGCCAATCGACGCTAAAGATAGGATTGAGAGGGTATACCAGGCTCCCTTGATTTTTGCTTCCGAAGAAGCTTGTCAGGCAGGAGGGGGGAAAGGAGGCGGATCAGAGGAGGAGGAGGAGGAGGAAAAAGATTCGGACGAGGAGGCTGGAGGAGGGGGAGGAGGAGGAGGAGGAGGAGGAGGAGGAGGAGGAGGAGGAGGAGGCGGATCAGAAGCAGCGGCGGGGGCAGGCTGCAGGGACGGCAGCAGGGGCAGGGAGAAGGCGGAGCGGGAGCAGGAAGAATGGGGGTCGGAATCCCATATTGCTTCATGTTGTTCCCATCGTCCTTAAAGACCACCTCCCAGAAATAATTTCGAGCACCCAGGAAAGTATCGAAACATTGTCGAACGAGTATCGCCTCCCAGGGCCCGACACGTAACAATAACCCAAGAATTGGTACTTCCTGGTGCTCAAGATTCTAAAGTAGGCTGGAACATCATAAATCTTGCTTGACAAGGTGGCCACCTGGGGAACCAACAAATTACGCTACCGAGGAACCCGACATGCTTAATATAAATGTTCGCGCAATCCTGCGTTCTGGCGTCGAGACGGTGCCACGCCTACTATCTCCTGGACAAGAGGCGCGCATAGCGGCCGCGCTCAGCGACCGCCCCCTGCGCATCCCCTCTGGTGTCGAACAAGTGCCACGCCAGCTATGACCTGGGCAAAAGGCGCGCATAGCGGCCGCGGCGAGAGACCACCCCCTGCGCACCCCCTCTGGTGTCGAGAAAGTGCCACGCCTGCTATGCCCTGGACGAGAGCCGCGCATAGCGGCCGCGGTGAGAGACCA